AACAATGTACAATTAAGTATCTAACATGACTGGAACCCACAGAAGCAGAGTAAATACACTAATATTTGGTGAAAGAAAACTGCATACACACTCCTGTGATCTAAAAAATGTTAACTGTTTGAGGAACAAATTACAGCTAATTAAAACTTCATTCTAAATGAATTGAAGCAGAAAAATCAAAAGTGCTGAAAAAGATTCAAACCACTGAACCTGCAGAAATCACTGGTTTCCTTGGTTCCGAGTCTGCTTTGTCTTTCAAAATAATCTTTTAGAAGAGAACACAGAACACTATTACAATGGCCTTGGAAAAAGGGACCTCTGCTTTACCACTCTGATTCTCCAATAATGCTTTATTTGGCAGGGACTATTTAAATTCAATTCCCAGCCCCTCAACTAGCTGACATTTATCTAACACTATCCTCTTCCAGGTCTAAGGAAGTTTAACAAAGAAAAAAAAAAAATCAAATTACTAAAGGATACACCATTCACAAAATGGAAACCTAAATCTTCTCTTCATATATCTGTCCCTTTCAAGGAAGGTCATAAAAATGGGGATAAGGGAGACTAGATACCAACTAGGAATTTGACTCTATATTATAAACTGGTCAAATGAATGGAAACAATGATTCCTCTGGAGTGAAAGTACCACTTAAGCACTTAACATGACAGTTCTGATACTTCCAAAAGATTCTCCAGGAGTTCAAACTAGAAAAGCAATATGTCCCAGGAGAATAGACCAAAGAAAAGGTCTTGGGCTTTTCAGTCAAGTTTTGTTATTTCCCTTGTATAACATTGTCAGGGCTACTTTTTTATCAGTGTAAAGACAAGAAACATCAAAAATTAAATTAATAGCACTGGTTCATCTTCCATAAAAAGCTATTAAAAAGAATTTTCAAACCAGTGTTATTCAGCCACTAATGACATCATCACTTTTATATTTATAGAGATTATTATCACTGTTAGACAAGTCTCCTAAATATGTTCTCATGTGGGTCAAAAAGTATTATCTATTTCATAGAAAAATACAGTAAAAGTAGTAGTTTGCTTGAGGTCCTAAAGACTAAGCCTAAAATTTTTTTTTCCATCTCCTAAACTCAGAGCTCTAACATTTTTAATTTAGTATCTTGCTGTTGGGGTGGGGAAAAGAGTACCCTTTATGGCAATGATGAATAGAAATTTAATTAGTTAAACAAAAAAATGTTCCACCACAAATAACCTGGCAAATAGCCACTCCTACAGAAAGAGTAATGATTTATGCTACACAAATAATAAAGCACTATGATGTTTTACTTGTTAACCAGCTAATTTACTTCCTGGGGGGCATTTCTCACTTTAAAACAGTGATTCTCTACCAAGAGTTCCCAGATGCCAAGAAGTCCATATAAGGAGTAATGGAGTTGCCAAGTTATGCTAAATATTCCAAAAGAACTAAAACAAAGTCCTATACTGGCTCCCAATAAGGCTGCACAGGTTAGGAAAATGAGCTGCTTTGCCTTTAGGTGTGATCATAACAACTGGATGTTAGCTGTGACTGGTGATTAAATCCATTTACTGAAAATGGAAAAAATAACTTTTTAAGCCGCCATGACAAACTTTTTTATCATGAGTTCACAGAAAACAAGTAAAAAAATGACTCCTTGAAGTTGAATTTAGCCCTTTTCCCCCTTCGTATCTAAGATTAGGACAAATTTATGAAACAGAAAAGAAATTTAGTTCCACTCCCTTGGCCTAAAGAGTAAAAAACATTTACACTTTCTTTTGTCTGTTTTTTTACTTCTTAAACCACTTTCATATGAAGTCAAACTGAACATTTCCTATCAAGCCCTAAGTGGCCTTTCAAATATTTATGCACTACCCAAGACACTTTCTTGATGTTTTCTCTGCCCTTTTGACCAGTTCTTGGCAGTTAACTTATTAAGATCAAGTAGTTAAGATTTTTGTTTAAAGAGAATGTAGCTAAAATGGTGGCCATATCGCCAACAACACAAATATTTACTGAGCATTTACTGAGTGAAGGATGAAAAGCATAATCACTGAACAGTCTCCCCTGCCACCATGAAAAAGACTTTCAAAAAAACCCACCACTGTACCATAACATAAGATAAGAAAACATAACCAAAGCAGCAGTTAAGGACTAGAGGAAGCAGGAAGGGAAATAGATACACTGTATGACTAGAGACTTGGGGATGGTCAGACATGTCAAGACAGAATGAGTTGGGGAAAGGGGCACATTCCACATGGGGAAAACTGCTGATGCAGAAGCCTGAAAGAAAAAGGGGGCACCATATCTTTAGAGGATTACTCAAATTGACATGCATGTCTGTAAGAAACAACTAATGAGGTACCATTCACTCAAACATTATAGAAAGTGCCTAAGGACGCTTCTTGGTAAGCACAGAGAAGACAGGGCCTGGCAAGAACTCAATAAATATTTGGGAGTAAGAGGAAAAGTTTTTTTTTTTAATAGATCAAACACTACATTTTTATTTTTAAGAGTTAAAAACTCTTTAGATAATAGCAAATCAAACACAGCAGACAAGCCCTGGCATTTGAAATCCAACCTCACTCTTTCCTTGCTCCTTCCCCTCTAAGAAAATGGTATCGACAAGAGCAAACTGTATTGATTTTATCTAAACAGTAAGCCATACCTAAACTTTAGTCTTTATCTTTTAGAGATACACACCGAAATATTTACAGATGAAGTGCTATGTCTGGAATCTGCTTCAAAATAATCCAAGCTGGGGAAGAGATGAAATAAGATTGGCCAAAAGTTTATCACTGTTGAGGCTGGATACACGGAAGTTCTCCATGCTACTGAACTTCTTGAATATGTTTGATGTTTCTCCATAATAATGTTATTAACAGTATCTACCATGATAATTATCTTCTGATAATGTGTCCTAATTCACTGACACCTCAATTTGAGTAGTTTGTATTAATGGTACCATTATCCTAGTCCCCACCAAATCATCCTTTGGCCAGGCATCTCTAACTCACTTCGTGCTCCACTCCCTAATCCAGGTCATCATTCAGCATCTTTGTGTGCAGCTGACTCCATCAGCCTCCAATATGGTTCTCAATAGGACACTGCTGGCCCTTGAAGTGGGATAATTCTGTCTGGCAGATTGCCTGAATATTACACTTGGCATCCCTGTACCCCTGCCACTTAAATGCCAGCTCAGCACAGCAACACCACCATCCCACTCCCACCAGAATAACCAAAACCACACACGCATTTCCTAATGCCACCCACTACAGAGAACCACTCCTAGTCCTGGGTGGTAAGTACATCTTCCCATTTACCTGAGCTTGCGCCTCCCCAGGGGCCTACAAGTTCAGTTTGTCATTTAAACCAGCCCTCCTTTTTCCTGGCCATACTTCAACTTGTGCCAGAATAATCATCATCAGATCAGCCAGTCTCTTTATTATCACCTACTCTGTGCTCACTACTACTTCCTGTTTTCCATTCTTGGAAAATGTTCTCCTTCACCCGCCTATATCCTGGGCTTCTCAAGTCTCATTATAACGTCTCTATTCCTAAGCCAACCACATTTTCAAAGCTGTGGTGTCTTTTTCCGGATGGAGTTTCCTCAGCCTGAAATGCCCTTTGGCTCCCTTCCAAAATTCGACTCACCTGTGAAAACCCAACTCCACAAATCCGCCTCTCCTCAAGGCCCTTTCCGAAGCGCCCCCTGCCCCCAACCAAAGTCAAAGTTAATTGCTCTTTGGCTTTCACGAGCATACCACAGAACTTCATCACAGTTTGTTGTGTAAAACTCTTCCCTCAAGAAGCCTGAGTTCTGAAAGCAGGGACTGCTCTACCCATTTTTGCGAAACCAGCGCTTAGAAGAGAACACCTCAGTACAGCTCTTTATTGTACTTTTTTTTTTTTAATATACACCTGCTCCCCGGTATTCTGAAAACTATTTTAATATTATCATAACCTCAAGGGCTTTGCAGACTCCGGAGCACCAGGTACGCTGTAGGACTTAACTACCTACTAACTTAACCAAAGGGAGTTTAACGACGCTAGAGTCAGCTTTAACGTATTTACAGAGGAACATGAAACCACCACCTTGACTCCTGTTATAATAAGCTGCACATCCCGCAGTTTGGACCGATACCGTAAGTCAATTTCACAATGAACATCCTCATCATACATTTTTATGAGGAAACTTATTTAACATTTTTTGTTTTACGGGTTTGTCACGAGCTTTCCGACGAAGCAAATGAGAGAGCTTTAAAGGATCTTTCCGACTTTGTGACATAAAAACGATCTTTCTGGGCAGTAGATTTGGGCACGGATCTCCTTTCCCCTGCTCCCGATTTACCACAAGAGGGGCTACACAAACATACCCCCAGAACACCTGCCGCATCCAATGTCCAACGCGCCTTCGGAACGCGTTAGCGCGGAGCCAGGCCAGCGGGAAGGGGATCATTCAAACAGCGCCAGAGGCTGCATTCTAAACTTTTCCCCCACAAACGCGTCAGTTTTCAATGTTAGTTTCTCCTTAAACCCAAACTTAAAAAATAATTGGGGGAATAGACGGAACCAGGGAAACCTGACTGGAGAAGGACGCGTTCAAACTTGAGGGCCTTTCGCCTGCCCCGCCGGGGCTCAAACAACAGCCGACCCGCGGGCCGCGGCCCCCGGGGGCAGGCCCCTGGCTGTGGACGGCCATGGCGACCCGGCGAGGACGCGGCCGGCCGCGATCGCCCACCTCGAGGTGCGGCGACCGGGGCCGAGAGAGGCCAGCAGCCCCAAACCCAGCCCCGCCGGGAAAGCCGGAGAAACGCGCCGTCCGCCTCCTCTCACCCCAGTCGCGCGCAGTCCCGGCGGGGCCCCAGCCGGGCCCCTCACCGGGGAAAGGGGCGGACCCACCCCGCCCCGCCCAGGGGTCCGACGGGCCTCTCCGGGGCAGCCTCCCCTTTGTCCGGGCACTCGGGGCGCCCCTTTCCTCCCCGGCCCGGCCCTGAGGGGCTGCGGCCGGGCGCCTCACCGTGATGTTGCAGTGGAGTGTGAGCGGCGGCGGCGGGGAGTGCGGGCTGCCCGGCAGCGCCGGTGGCGGCACCAGGAACTGGCAGTGCAGTTCGTCCAGCTTCCAGCTGACGATGCGAAATCGCTCGTGGTTCTTGTCGAAGATGGACGCCAGGAACTTCAGCTCGGCCTTAAGCCCTGATACGGACATCTTCCCCTCATCTCCGGCGGGAGGGGTGCGGAAGGGGAGCCGGGCCCGGAGCCGCCGTCACGGCCGCGACCGCCCCGCGGGGCCGGCCCGGGCCGCGCTCTCACGGCTCCGCCTCTCCTCGCCGCCGCGGCCCGCGTCGGATCGGGGCTGGAAAATGGCGAGGGGCGCCGAGGCCTCAACGAACGGCGGTGTGGCGAAATGGGCGGCTGCTCCCTTTGTAACTGACTCCACCGGCAGGAGGCGGCGGCCCCGTGGCTTAAAAGGGCAACAGCGACACCACCCCCGCTACCGCCTGGGAAAGGGCTGCCCCCACCCCGCCCCCTCCCCTCCCCTCCCCTCCCCTCCCCTCCCCTCCCCTCCCCTCCTCTCCCCTCCCCTCCCCTCCCCGGCGCTCCTGCGCGCCCCCGTTCGGCGCGTGCGCGCGGCTGGGGCGCGCGCCCGCCTGGCCGCCCCCTCCTCCCTGTGACCCAGCCCCCTTCCTCTTGGCCCATCTGCTCTGCTCTCGCCCGCGGACGCCAGGATTAGGCCAGCTGGCGCCCCGGCCCCTAATCACCAGAAGGAGCTGGAGACCCCCGCGCGCCCTGTCCCCCAGTCTGGGACCAGACACGTGCCTGGCCTATTGCGCCGGCCACGTCGGCGGGGCAGCGGCCACGCGCCGGTCCCTGGGGGCGGGGCTCCGCCAGGCTCTGAGCGGGCCACCCACTCACCTGACCCGGCCCGGGGCCCTCGCAGATAGGAGGCTGCTGACAGTACTCTGGACCCAAATCGGCCCACTTAGCTTCATCTCCGCTGCTCTCATCTTAGTCACCTAGTCACCTAGCCACCACTTCTCTGTCTAGCCTGAGTTCCTGCCAGGACCTTCTCGCCGGACTCTGCCCACTCCTTTGCTTTCAAACAATCCTTTTGGTAATTTGGTCCCTGCCAGCTGCTCCCTCCCACCTCTCGCAATTTCATCCTTTCCGTACCCACTACCTCTGTTCACTCTGGCATTCGTTTTTCTCTCCCTCTTTCCTGTCTTGAGCTTAAGATAACTCTCTCCACCTCCCATGGAGGCAGGGCTGGCCTATTTTCAGTGAAGTCTTAGCTCAGGGCCTTCCTGAACACCTAATCTAAAATAGCCATCTAGTCACCCTGTATCATACCATCCTATGTTAATTTTTTGCCAGACACTTATCACTATCTGATATTTTTTCCTGTTTATTCGTTGTTTTCCCCAACATGAATGTCTTATTCAGAGCCATAGTCCCAGGACCTGGAATGAGGCCTTTTATATAACAGATACTCGGTGTTACTGAATGAATGCTCCTATCTGGAATCCTCAACACTTAACACAATCCCTGGCATATTCTCAATGCTCCCGAAATGGATGGAGGGCTGCATGGTAGTCCAAAGGAACATAACGTAACTGGGCAGGTAATTAATAGTACACTTAGTGTTTAGTGATATGCACTAGAAGCAGGACAAGTTTCATGAGCATGCAACCTGTAGTTGCATAAGTCTCCTAGTTTAGAAGGGCCTTGTGTTAGGTTTAATGCCCTGGCTCAGACGGTAAAGCATCTGTCTCCAATGCTGGAGACCCGGGTTCGATCCCTGGGTCGGGAAGATCCCCTGGAGAAGGCAATGGCAACCGACTCCAGTACTCTTGCCTGGAAAATCCCACGGACAGAGGATCCTGGTAGGCTACAGTCCATGGGGTCACAAAGAGTCGGACACGACTGAGTGACTTTACTTACTTATAGACATTTTGAAAGTCTTAATAATTTTCCAGCAAGTTGCTCTGCATTTCCTTTTGCACTTTTTAAAAAAATTTGTTTTTATTTGGAGAACAGTTGTTTTACAATATTGTGTTGGTTTCTGCCATATATCAACGTGAATCAACCATAGGTATATACATGTCCCCTCCCTCTTGTTTGCACTGGTCTTGACTAGAGGTACCTAGCCTTCTCCAGTACCTAAATGTCTCCTCCTTCATGATCTACAAGTGGTCCCTGATCTACTTGTCCTTTAGATAACGAAATACAGAACAACATAAAGAGACATGATACAAAAAAAAAAGACATGATAAAAACTTATTTACAGAACAGAAACAGACACAGACTTAAAGAACGAACTTATGGTTCCCCAGGGGAAGGATTAGGGAGTTTTGGATGGACAAGTATACACTGGTGTACTTAAAACCAACAAGGATCTGCTGTGTGGCCCAGGGAACTCTGCTCAATGTTATGTGGAAGCCTGAATGGGATGGAGTCTGGCAGAGGATGGCTACATGTATTATGATGGCTAATTGAGTCCTTTTGCTGTCGGCCTACAATTATCACAACATTATTAATCAGCTATGTGTGTGTGTTTAGTCATTTCAGTCATGTCTGACTCTTTGCGACCCCATGGACTGTAGCCTGTAAGGCTCTGTCCATGGGGATTCTCCAGGCAAGAATACTGGAGTGGGTTGCTGTGCCCTCCTCCGGGGGATCTTCCCAACCCAGGAATCAAACCCAGGTCTCCCACATTGCATGGGAATTCTTTACCTTCTGAGCCACCAGGGAAGCCCATTAATCAGCTATACTTCAATATAAAATAAAGGAATTTAATAAAAAGTTTTAAAAATACAGAAACACAAGGCGGTGATAAGTCCACTGAATGGGGAACATATCTAAAGTTTTTATTTTCATTTACTTCTGTAATAGTGTATCATGTTATATCGTTTCTTAGCTTTCCAGTGGTTCATGGACCGCTCTGAGAATATAATAAAAGCTATGATCCATCTTCTCAGGAAAATGCCTCTGCATATAAAGTGTTTTATTTATGGGGATTCCTGGCCCTGGAACTAGGGGAACCATTATGAACTGGGACTGAGAGAAAGAAGAATGGATTCCAGTGCCAAACTCTGAGCCAGAAATAACTAGCTATGGTATTATTGCTGGGTTAAGCACACATGTAGTTTGCTGCTTCTTTTTTCTTCAGTCTCTGGTACTCCTAATAAGCATGGTAGTCACAGACAAGGATTTGAGACGAAGAGGAACAAACTGTTCAGAACTTTGTATGACTTTGAGAAATAAAATTCCCTGAATAAGTTATTTAATCTATCTAAGCTATATTTTATCTCTAAATTGCTATAAGAAAATAAAAAGCTTTATAAATTGTTAACACTTTTATATCTCAGAAATACACACACACACACACACACACACCCACCCATGGACTGGAACCTGCCAGGCTCCTTTGTCCATGGGATTTTACAGGCTGGATTTTACTGGATTTTACTGGACTGGATTACCATTTCCTCCTCCAGGGGATCTTCTTGCCCCAGGGATCGAACCCACGTCTCTTGCATTGACAGGCAGATTCTTTACCACAGAGCCACCAGGGAAGCTCTAATTAAGTTGACTCTGCAATATGCGTTCCATTCCAGATGACTGGAAGTCCAACGAATGATTGTATCCATTTACCTGTGCTTGGTTTAGGGGAAGGCTTGTGACATATTTTTGGTCAGTGACACAGAAGAGTAGTCACAAGACATCACAGAAGAAGCTTTAATCAACCAATCCTAGTATCTGCCCTGATTCGGGACCTCCTGTTATGTGAAGTAATATATTTCCTTGTTGTCCAAACCATTTTAAGTCACAGTTTTCTGTTATTTGCTCCAGGATACAGTGTTTTGTTTCCAATGCTAGACTTGAAGCTTCTTGAATTCAGAATTGTATCTACTTACATTCTAGCCCTTTTAAGGCTTGGAACACAGCAGACCCCCAAAAAATGATTGTGAAATTTAACTATCATTTTTTGAGCATCTTCAATGATATCAAGAGCCCAGACCCTATTTCCCTTGTCAAGCTGAGAGCAAGGTGTCTAGAAGTGTTCTTTCAGGTTACCAGACACAAGGATATCCAAATCAGAAAGAACTATTTCTTCCATGTCTCCTTCCAAGCCGGACTTTTCAGAGAATATACCCAACTGGCTTCTCTTCTGTGTCATTGGCCAGAAATATATCCACAAGCCTACCCCTAAACCAATCACAGTTGTAAATGGATGGGATCTCTCACTGGCCTTCCAGTCGTATGGGATGAAACAGATACTGGAGAGTCAACCATAGTGTCTACTACAGACTCATAAATAAAGACAACATCAGATCACAACATCTGCTAGATCATAGAAAAAGCAAGGAAATTCCAGAAAAACATCTACTTCCACTTCATTGACTACACTAAAGCCTTTGACTGTGTGGATCATAAAAACTGTGGAAAATTCTTGAAGAGATGGGAATACCAGACCACCTGACCTGCCTCCTGAGAAACCTGTATGAAGGTCAAGAAGCAACAGTTAGAACTGTACATGGAACAATGGACAGGTTCAAAATTAAGAAAGGAGAACTTCAAGGCTGTGTATCGTCACCCTGCTTATTTAACTTATATGCAGAGTACATCATGAGAAACGCTGGGCTGGATGAAGCTCAAGCTAGAATCAAGATTGCTGGGAGAAATATCAATAACCTCAGATATGCAGATGACACCACCCTTATCGTGGAAAATGAAGAGGAACTAAAGAGCCTCTTGATGATGGTGAAAGAGGAGAGTGAAAAAACTGGCTTAAAACTCAACATTCAGAAAACAAAGATCACAGCATCTGGTCCCATCACTTCATGGCAGATAGATGGGGAAACAATGGAAACAGTGACAGACTTTATTTTCTTGGTCTCCAAAATCACCGTGGACAGTGACTGCAGTCATGAAATTAAAAGACGCTTACTCCTTGGAAGAAAAGCTATGACAAACCTAGACAGTGTACTAAAAAGTAGAGATATCATTTTGCCAACAAAGGTCTGTATAGTCAAAGTTATGGTTTTTCCAGTAGTCATGTATGGATGTGAGAGTTGGACCATGAAGAAGGCTGAGTGCCGAAGAGTTGATGCTTTCAAACTGTGGTGCTGGAGAAGACTCTTGAGAGTTCCTTGGAGAGCAAGGAGATCAAACCAGTCAATCCTAAAGGAAATCAACACCGAATAT